ATATTTAAATAATAAAAGAACAATTTTTAATGTATATTATATTAAATTTAATTTTCTAAAATGTGTGTATTAACAACACAATCACAGGATATTTACATCCTGATATTAAAATTCATAAGATGTGTGTAAAGAATATTGAAAATTCATGCTGATAGTAATATAATATTAATTGCTAAAGGCTCACTATTTGTTCTGGATCTCACATTATTAATTACTAATAGTGGTATCAACTATAATAAATATGTACATTATGTGTATTATATTGTATTTTGGACAAATATTTGTCCAAATTTTCTTTTAATTATAAACCTGCTTAAAATTAACACTTTTATCATGTTGTCATCACAACATATAGCTGCAAATAATTTATTTAATATTAATTATTTTTTTAATGAATCAGAAATTTTTTAATTTATTCTAAAATATAAAATCGTAATAATACGTAATAAATTCGAAAAGGTGGGATAGAATGTGAAGATTAACGAGATTACATTTATTACAACAGAAATCTTACTTAACATGTTAAAGGATCTTCTGTTTTTTTTTAATGCACTAGTGGAAACTACATAGGTATACAATTTCACTTAAATAATTTCTGCGCAAATTCAAACTGGAGCAATTAAATATGCACTTTTAATAAAAGGAATAAATTACCTAAATTAATTCTAAATATCGGTGATTAAATAATAACTAAATGGTTGTTGCCACAAAACGACAAAAATAATTTAATTTGTTAACTTACTAAAATAGTTTCATTCATATTTCAAACATATTATACTTGTATATAAAAAAAGCGTATAATTAAATATTTAAAATCGTTAATAGTATTATTGTTGGTATTATATTATTGGTTATTTTACATAGGTATGTTGGGTATTGTGCTACTTAAATTGCATTAAATTTCGTGTTGATAAAGAATCTATTCAGTTGTATCCAAGGGATCTATATATAGAAACATTTTAACTAGAGAGCTACAATCTACTGATTACTCGTACTCATATCTCTACCACCATTGCACCACGTTATTATGGATGCTTTGGTTTTGTAATTAGCGAGACTCACTGTAATCCCAAGCCCAGTAATCGCCAGCACCCGCCGTGGGCAGCATCGTACTCCATGCCTCTATGTGAGAACAGAAAGAAAGAAAGAACGAAAATAAAGAACTGAACCATGCGTTCGATCGTTCGCAAAAAGATCCTTATGCATTTTTTAGTTAAAAAAAAAAAGGAGGGGGGGGGAAGAAACCAATGGAGTGCCCCTCAGTAATTTAAACGCTGAAAAACTTTCATGCGATTGTTATAAAATTGCCTTCCTAGCAGCAGCTCCGCAAACGCGAATATTGAGTGTTGAACAACGAAGTTTCTCCGTGCGAAATGCCGTGTAAAGTTGAATCACTTTGTCCAGATAACGATTCGCCGCGAACATAAACTCTTGATTATCTAGTTTGAAATAGATAATGCGAAACTAGTGGTTTATTGTACTTTGTGTTACTGGTACACTCAACAATTAATCTCTCGATTTTTCATTTTACATCTTTATTTTCTAAAGAAAATTTAAACAGTCATAGTTTCAAATAGTATTCAGTATTACAACTTATTTTCTGTATCGACTTACTTAATTATAGACTTGCTGTGTAATGCGATGCAATATATCAGCCGTCGAATCTCTTTTCTTCTCCTTTGTTATTTACACATATAATTCTTTCCTTTTTTCTCAATAATGATAGTATTCATTTTCTGTGATATTTGTTAAGAAATCCTGGTAGACTGATTATTTTTGCCCTAATAAATTCTGAACTTCCTTTTTCTTTGTGCTCCAACCCTCGTTTTCTAGCTTCGCTATTTTATCTTGCGCGTCTGTAACACTCTCGTCCCTTTCTGCACCCCTCCCATTTCCTTCTTCCTTTTTCCTCTATTCGTTTCAACATGGTCATTAAGGCTGGAAATTACATTATATCGCGTATAACGACTGTGCCTGTCAGACACGACAAGGACAATCGCGCCTGCAAAAAGCTGTTAAGAGAGGAATTAAAATGAAATTGTCCTGGTTCCTTTTGCGAAGAGTCGTCTTTGAAGTTTCGCGTTCTTCTGGACGATGTCTCAGTAGCGACAAAAGACTCGGTCGTGAGTTTGCAAAGATTCGCAATTATCAGTGAAGTAAAGCTTTGAATAAACATTCCACGCTACAATTTTCGATAAAAGAAGATTGTTTATTCTCGGTACGAAGAGACCCTTTTTCTATAGTAAACTCTCAACTCAATATCGTGAACTGCATAAATAATTTTTATTCACTTATTGTTGCATCGAGTAGTGAAAGGAGGAAATCGAATAATTTAAATATTATTTAAAAACAGTTTTATAAAATGTACTTCAATACTTCTATCATTAGGATGAATAATACATAATAAAGTTATAATAATACATAATCAATTAATTTTAAAGAGATGAACGATAATTTTGTAGATTTATTTATTATGCAGACCGCATGAATTTACCGCTAACACGATTTACAGTAACTTACATCATAAATATGCATATCTTAAAACCGTATATCATACATCTGTCACGCGCAGTAATGGAAAATCTGCAAGTAGCAAAATTACCACTAATGCATAGTTGAAAATACTGTTTTGTGAACAACATGAAAACTCGAGAAAACGCAAAATTTTATCGTAGAAAGTAAATCGCAATTAAAGTAGATACGGTATGTTGCTTATCTGCGGAAAATATAATCTCGCTTTTCGCTATTAAATCCGTCGAGTGCGCAGCTTTCTGAATTTTGTAAGATGGAAAATCCTGAGGACGCATGATGTAAATTACAATAATACTGCATTTCTCTTTTCATGGTAAATAATGTTTGGTAATTTTGAGAGAGTTTGAGAAGTCAATTGTAATATTTATAATCGATTGAAAATTCATATTTTCTGTAATATCAAACACAGAATTATAATTCGTTGCAAAAATATTGTGAGAATCCATCTCGAAATGAATCCTTCCGATTCAGATTTCGGTCATAGCTTCAATACGTTTCAACAATGCGGACGCTTAAAAATTCATAAATGAATATTGATCTTAAATTCTTCTTTTATATAATATTAAGCGAAATATTAATCCTTCAAACTCTTCTTTTATAACGATTGAGCTTTCTTTTTAGCCATCATATCAAATAACAAGAGAAGTGCATAAATTTTCGCCTACCTAATTCGTCACTCACATTCGCGATTTTCAAATCCGCTCCGCTAACGACTCCTTGTGCATGCACCTCATTAACGGGGAAGAAGTCTGATTGTAATTATCGGTGAAACGTCTTGGAACGACCCCCGACTTCGCTCGGTTTCTCTAATTGCCAATGGCTTACGAGAGGGAAAAATCATTCTGGAACACCATCTCGCTTCTGCAGCTGTCGACAATTACGCCTCATTAGGCGACGCGCGTTCTCTTGCGAATACATATACGCGTAGGAGTTAACGAGAAATGCACCTATAGTTGCGTCCAGGCGTTTTATCATTAAAAGTAACGATCGATCGAGCGGAATATCAGAAAGAGGATAAAAACGGCAACACCCAAAGCAACCGCGTGATATGTTTGCTACGTGACAGAATGCAAAATGTAGTGAAATGATGAATATTTGAAGGAAACATTTCCCGTTTTTATCTGACTTGAGTGAGCGATTGATATTTAATTGAATGAAACTCGATCTACGACATTAATAGATTATCGATCACAGAAGAAATCGAAGGACATAAAAGTTGAAAGAATGTTACGAATAGGTTATATAAATTAATGAAATGCAGATTGCTTGAAATATTAAAATCACACAAAAATCAATTTGTACGGATAAATACCAAAGGTAAAATAAAATTGTAGTCTTGACGAAAAATGTGAAGCACCTTTAATAAATTGTAGTGCATTCTGACACTTTAAAATTGTTAGAAATAAACTCACATCGTTTATTAATTATAATTACGAAGGTATTTTAACTTTATTTTACTAATAAATCATCTTGAATAATATTCTCATTCGATTTATCACGATTTATTTATTAGGTTCTGTATATATCTTTAGTTAAAACTGTGTACCCGTATTAAATAGTTTGGAACGAATGCAGATTGTATATCTCTGCTCAGTTAAATTATGCACAATGCATACAAACAAATTTATGAAAATGTGCTGGTTTCTGCTTCTATTTTTATCAACGATTTTGTTTTATTCTTATTATGCTTAGAATAACATAGGAAAAATTTATTTCTTTTTTTATCGTCCAATGTTTTTAAGTTTATGTTTATGCTCCTTTAATTATAAAAAGTATGACTCGTAAACAAGTAAGATAGTATTTCAATCCATATTTACTCAATGTCGCGGTATTATTAAATTAATTAGTTTTAAATGTAATTTAATACTAAATATATAATAAACATGACAATTAATTTACAGGGTGACAAAAAAGTTTGTCCACAAAGTTTTGTGCTTATCAAATCATTAATGTAATTTGCAAAAAAAATCAAACTCTTAAAATTTTGTTAGTAATACCTTACTAAATACTAAAAGTATAATAATTAACATAGTTAAAGTAGCCGTTATAAATTCCAGCTAAATTAAGGTCTTGAATTCGCAAACAGATGAACATTTTTTGGTGCAGTCGTGTTTTTGGTACTTAACAAAATATAACGCTAACATTTCAGAATTTATATTTTTAAATATATGTTATAATAGTATTTTGACATTAAAACGATGACAAATAACAGTACAGCTTATCACCTGTGTAGTAATTTGACAAACACACGAAACTTTGTCACACAAACTTTTCTGTCACTTTGTATATTGACGTCGTATTAAAAAAAAAATTAAAAAATTCAAATATATAATATCAAAGTTCTTTCAGCAAAATATAACATAAATATTTAACAAAATACAATTAATAGGTAATACAAAGCTATTTTTTTTATTAAATTAGTTTAAAAATTCAGATTATTAAGTTTAAAAAAAAAAACATTTACTAACCTTTTTCGCAATATGCGCCTTCGTAATCACCGGTACGACACTCACAGATCGGTCCACTATCTGTAGAAATGCAAATGCCACCGTGCTGACACGGATCGCGAGTTTCGCAGGCATCTGTCGTATTCGCCATATTGCGTAAACTCTGTAACAGATATTAGACCATGGCATTATAACAAATGATATAATTTAAAATACTTATTAAAATAATCAAAACGTTGGAATAACGGTACTGAAAGCTTCTTTGTAATGAGATTCTTAATGGGATCGTGAACAATAAAATTATAATTTTGAATTAGCGCAAATGTATAGTACAAATAAAAAATGTTTACATTGAGTATATTGAATAGAAAAGTATTCCATTTCAATTATATTTCCGTTTCAATTACATTTGTCACGTATGATATAGAAAATTTTTCGCATGAAAAAAATATCTTTTTGCTTATAATCATATGAGATTTATGATTATGGAGATTAGCAAATTAGTAATTAAATTAACGCATAGATGAAAAGTAAGAAATAGAAAAAAAAAGTGTTACTGTGCATTATCTAATTAAACACGTTACGTATAATATATGTATTATAACATTACAGGAGAAACTGCATAATGGTTAAACTATAAATAATACCTTTATTAAAGGCGTCTTATAAATGCAAATATTCTGAAATTATTCCTATTATTGCGCACCACAATTTTCATATTATGCAGCAGCAGACTTCCTGACATGGATATATATTAGCTGTAGAAATATAACTCCTTAACATGAGAATCCAAAAAAGATTCACTGTGCAAGGTGGGGCAGTAATATTTATTTATTTTTTACTTCACGCGATACTGTCTGCAGTATTTCAACATTAGGCTGATGCGGCTATTTAAATATTTAATTCATTAGATATTAGAATATATACATCTCTCGCTTTTATGGTATATTTGATATATTTAACTATAATATTATACTAATGATGCCTTTTTTACTATTCATAAAGTACGATAAATACTTTTAAATATTTAAACATTGCTTTCGTGACATCACGTAAAATTCTTATTTAAGCAGCGATGTTGAAAAAAATCTCTTTTCCATCTCTGAAATAAATAATAGATGATATATTTGATATGTTTGCTTGTGCAATATCGCTTGCAATATTCAGCGTGATATTACGCAGCGACGAAAATTAAAGAGAAGGTAGAAAAATAACGTACTTTAGTTTGAAGAAGAGCTCCGCATTTTTTCAATTTACATTTATCTTTATTTCGCGACCTTATACGCGGCTCTTCGGGGGCGACGAATAATAAACGAACGCGGTACGCGCCATCGTGGTAAACATCTTTTTTTACGATTCATTTATCTTGACAGTGCACTTTCAGCACTGCAACTCACTTTGCACGGTGCACCGTCGCGTTTTAAGCCGCGCAAACGAGATTTTTTTCACTCCCGGGAGCCGGCCGCAACCGACTTTTATGGATGCTCTTTGCACTGAGAATAAGCAGGACGTTGATCTTATTCTTGAAGTTCTTTTAACGTTGGTCCCAACTCAATTTGAGTCTGCAAAATTAGATAGAAGGAATTCGTCGCGGATCACTTTGCTCCAAAATATAGGCTAATTCTAAAAATGGACTATCCGAGAGTTATACTTACATATGTATACTAAGTTTGATGTTCAAGACAACAAAATTTTTATGATTAATTTCTAAATATTGAGTGAAAAAGAAATATTCGACATAAATGAGTGAAGCCATATTCTCTCAAGACGAGTCTTGGTGCTTAAATATACCATATTGTGTGAAATTTTTCTTATTAAGGATGTGTATCACACATATTTTTTAACAAAATCGAAATTTATGAAAAAATTGTAAATATTTCTGCTTTTAAAAATAATACAGAAGAGTTTGGCGATTTAGAATTTTCAGGATCAAAAATTATTTCTATAAAAAATAGATATATGTTTATATAAAAAATAAAGAGAAAATTTTTATTTAAACTATAAAATTGTTAAATATTGAGATTTTACGAAACGAGTTTTATATCTACTATATTACGATATATGTATATAACATTCCTTTTAATGACAGAAAGTATAAATTTGCGATTCTAATCACTTTTTGCAAAGGCTATACACCTGATACATACTTAATTTTAAATTTTTATTCGAAACTTATCATTAAGAATTTGACACTATCTTTTTGGCATTTCATAGAAGAAGATTATCATGCGGCGATTGATAAAATATCCACAATTGTTTTCAGTGAAGAGTTCATTGAATACTTCCGTGGAAGGATTAAGAGCCAAATAAAACGTTCTTTTTTTTCGCGAAAACAGCGTTGAACTTGCGTTGAATGAATTTACTTTTGCGCAATCGAGCGCCCGCAAATCCGACCGATAAGACAACCACGGAAATCACGATTCTCATCTCTCGCGCACGATTCTAACTTCTATCGATAAAGTTCACGGTTTACGTATCTGTTTGGCCGGCGGATATAAATATTTAAACTTCCAATTTCTCAAGAATACGCTGTAATTTCTATCTAGAAAATCATTCGTGCGTTTGCGGCTAAACTAACAGCCAATGCTCGCTGCATTATTCTCTTCTTCAGAAAACGTCGGCCTATATAATTAGTCTATCCAATTAATAGCAGGCTTTCTCGTTAGTTACTAATGAGTTATTAATGTCCTTTGCTCTCTCGGAACGCGTTTTCTTCGACATTTTTTATGACGGCTTGATCGCAAGGAATTTAGTCAGTGGAGCGATGCGGATGCACGTGTCGGGTCACGGGGTCAATCGCGCCGCTGTGCTCTATATTATTGCAGCCCAGGTTAGATTCGAGAGTTGGCAAGTGGCCATCGCAGAATACGGAATAGTAATCTTAGCGATGACGCGAAAGGGGATATGGGTTAACTCCATCATGCATTAAATATGTCAAATGGCAGCATAATGTATAAAGGGATCGGACGTTTTCCTTAATCATAGATTATTATCGAAGAATACGTATTAGCTTTAAATTCTCGTTCTCTTTTTTCGGGCAGGTGGTGCATGGAATACGTTAGTGCAGTTTTACATAAAATGCACAATTCCATCTGAGTTAGTTTTCCAAGCTGGTTAGTTTTCTTTGCGTTTACGGTACACGTCCGCTTGTAATAGAAATTTAATTTCACACTTAATTATAAGTAGTAGTTGGGTATAATGTCGAGGAAATATATAATAGAATATTTACGTGAAAATTAATTAAAGTGATACTTCTTTTTAATATTTCTTTCAAGTACTGCGAATTTCATTTAGTTATTTTTGATATAAAATCGAGCACTGTGAAATTAGTCTAATATATATTTGTTTCTGGGCTAAGATACAGAAGGTAAAAAGACTTAGACTAACGAGTATAGACTGTACGAATATGGCTAACCAACCAAGCCTGCTTAACGAGTCGACCGCATTAATCATATTGGGCCATGCGGCGCAGAGGATTGTTAACGAGATTTCCTGCGAGAAAAGCTAATTGACGTCTAGTCGCGGCAAATTGCATTTTCGATATGACCTCGGCTTAGCCGTTCCTAGACCTTTCTATAGTAAAATAACACGGTTCATTATTTCGGGGCTCCAAATCGGATACATTAACTATTTATATATATACATATATGTATATAATGATATTAATTGATCATTTGTTTTAATTAATTAAATGTACTTGGTTTAATTTTTGCTGTTGCAATTAAGCATATTGTTAGCTGATAAGATTAAGTATTACCAAAATTAATGTTTTAGCTTGTAAAGATAATAAAATAAATTACGATTTTATGATCACAGAGCGTAACGAGTAATTTTATTTTCGAAACAGATTTGAATAAGTATGTATATTCGAAATAGAATAAAAGTTTTGTACAAACTTCTTTTTACATACACAAGAAAATTTAAAAAAATACAATTAAAAGTTTAGATCTTTAGATGGGGTAACGTTCTATAAAAGTTACTTTTTTCCTCTTCGAAGCAGATTTTTTTCTCGAAGACTTTTTTTCGCTGAACATATTTTGTTATGCAAATTTTCCATCATCAGCATCGTGTTCAACGCGAAAAAAATCTTCGAAATGTCTATTATATAATAATATAATATAATAATATACTTTGGAAAGAATTGGGTTATTAAACAATATATGATTTTCTAAAATATATATTCTACTGTTTTACAAATTATACATTAACCTTCTGCATGTTACTTTCTTTCCGAGATCGGTTTACATAAATCAACTTGAGCAATTTACGGAACAAAATTAATTAACTGCAATTAATCCAACGTGTACAACGGAATTCGGTAAAGACAAAAGCTGCATGATGTTTATGAACTATGCGCGGCATAGTTGTGTAAAGTATGTCTACCGCTATACCAACCACAACGCGAGGGAAAATACTCGAATAAATCAAGCGATTTAATTTCGACGGGATTACACGGCGCAATCGGCCCATCCTCACGTCGGCAAGTTTTCCATCCTGGCATGTATAACGGTAATCTACCTACCTATACTCGTAGAGTAGCGGACCGTAAATTTGGATCTTCTTAGAATTGAGTCGTTATTCTTCGATTATGAATCAAAAATCGATCCTTCTTAGAAAATTTCATTACACCCCACACGCGCGTAGCCGGTAAATTCTCTGCGTGCGATTCCACAATGCGTTTAGACGTGACTGTATCGTGAAACACGTATAACGTATAAGATGCAGAACATGCGTCGCCAGGAACGATACAATTTCGTGCGACACGAGTCATCCTGTCTCCGAGGATGCACATCCCAGGTGCAATGTGCATTCTTCCGACCGCAGAGCGCACCACGAAATACGCCGGGGAACTCGGGGCCGCGCGGCAACTCTGATAAAGTCGGAAGAAGGGGTCTCCGTACCCCGACCCGTCAGATTGTCGACAGAAACTCGGGTAATAAATAAGGCACCCTCTGCGCAACTGTGGGAGCCAACTGCATCTCCGCGTGTACGGTGCAGTACGAAACTGCGCCGTGCCAAAACTGCGCTATTTGGTTTTGACCGCGAACACGGGAACCCCGGACAACCTCCGGGCATATAAACCAGCGGAGATACAGAATAAGTTGCGTCAAAGGGAACTCGCTCGCTCGCTAAAGTTCGGGACGGGTTGCGCGGTGCAGTTTA